ATTGAGGCTTGAAATTGAAGTGCAAGATGAAGTTTTCTCTCCCTTTCTCTTCCTCAAGTTTCGGCCAAGACAAGGTGAAGAAATGAAGAAATTGTGGTCAAAATTGGAGTTTTAGGAAAGGTAAGAAACCTTGGGTCAAAGTTGGTTGGATTGCGCCAAGTGTTGCCGCAAGATTGAATCTCAATATTTTCTTTTCTCTCTCTTATTCTTGGTCCAAAATTTCGGCTGCCTTAAGGATATTTTGGGACTGAATTTGCTCACTTAATAATAAGGAGATTAAGGTAATAAAGTAGTGTTCAAGTGGTGCACTCATTCGGTAGTAAACGATGCACGTCGGTTCAAGTCGTTTTCCTTAACTCGCACATACTTGTGTTTTTACTTATGGTTCACTAGCTTATTATTATCACTTCTAATCACACACTTTTTCTTATCTAAAACTCACTCTTAACCACCAAATTTAGTACACACACCTCACCAAGCGATCACACGGCCAAAATACGCGAAAATCCTAATTTACCCGAAATATAAAACTAAGGGTAAAACTCTTAAATCTCTTATCCATTACAACTATTGAGGGAGTAAATGAGTAGTAAAACTATCATAAAGTAATTGAGTCAAAATAAAAGAGAATTTTAAGAAAATATGAGCGAATTTTCCAGTTGTCACACTCTCTCCCCCTTAAAAGAATTTCGTTCTCGAACACCCCATTTACCTAAGTAATTTTCTTAGGTAAATGTGTTGTACTGTAATAAAATCTAAACACCCCATTTTCTGTAATTATACAGATCGTTTATTTAGTATAGTGGATATTAAGTGTCGACCCCACAAGGAAGATTGTCAATTGCCAATGGTTTTTGAACTCCTTTATTATTTAGACCATCACAAATACGAGAAAATTAAATCTGCACTACAAGTATAAAATAAAAGTAACCCAAAAACAATAGAAATCTCCTAGGGTTATTGAATTACTCACTACTCTTGCAAGTGAAATTATCGATTACTTGAATGTTATTATCTTGATTGGTTATGGCATAATTTCTTAAAACATGTAAAACCATTTTGCACTACCACTAGTAAAACAATTCTGTTAATCATTTAAATTTGAACTATAATGAATAAATTGGTTTGTATTTCTCCTTTTTGTGGAGCGAAAAGATTTCTATTACAAAAAAAAAGAATATTTGGTTTGATAAAATTTGAGGAAATCTAAAAAATAAACCCTAAGATTTGAGTTTTGAGTTGCATTTGCATTTGGCACTAGATTAGTTAAGAATTTTTCCCACAAGCTTCTTTTCAAGGCCTCCTGGTGCACAGTTTCAAGACACAATCTCTTTCTCCGTCCTTATTTCTCACAAATACAGAATACCTTCTCTTAACACATTTCTATCTCTCAAACATTTATTTTCAATGTAAAATTAAAGTATAATTGTATTAAACTATATACTGCATATTGATAGGATTTTTTTAGGCCATATGGAAAAGAATATCTTTACTCCATTTTCAAAGTTCAATTGATTATCAAACACATATAATTTTAAAAACTGAGTAAGTTAAGGTTGAACACTTAGAATTTCAATATTCAAATTTCATACTTTAGTTTTCAGTTTTACCCATCCCCAAACAATTTTGAATAAAAGCAAAATAAACACGTAAATAAATAAAAGAATTATGTATAAATATAAAAAAAAGTTGAATTCAAAATGAATTTGTTTTCAGCAATTCATGAAATGCTTGTGCAACTCAGTTTATGATGCCAGAATTGAAAATAATAACTCTAAATTATTTGAAGATTTGTGTCTTGGAATGTTAGTATAATTCTGTGTTTGAACATGACTCCAAACACTGTTGAGATTTGCAGGAAAAGGGAGGGTCATTTTTTCTTTGATGTTTGGTTTGAATGATCAATTGAAGTTTTATATACAAAATAAGGGCAAATGGCCCAAATAGTCTTCCAATTATCTTATTGAGCCACTTTTGGTAATTCAACTTTAATTTGGGTCTATATCGTCTCTTAACTTTTATTATTGGATCAATTTAACCTATCCACTTTAAATTTTGAGGACATGTTGTCTCATAACTACTCCGCATTATTATTGGGCCACGTTAGTAATCTAATATATATATATATAAATATATATATATGTGAATGTCAATCCAATAATAATACCACCATCTTCCTTCATTCATTCTTGACGATTGATTTCAAGTCTTCTCGGGACAAAATTCTTTCTTCCAACTAGAGGTGTCAAAATGGGTGACTTGGGTGAGTTTGGGTTGGATAAAATGGGTAATGGGTGTAAGTGAGTCAACCCATTTATACCCATTTAATTAGATGGGTATAAATGGATAAATCAAAAAATGAATTGGGTAATCCAATTATCCATTTATAACCCATTTATTTTAATTTTTTGTAAACTCATTTAAATTTATTTTTGCAAACTAAGTTATCAATTTATACCGCTCTTTGTACCCATTATTAATTTTAAATATTTATTTATAATGTTCAATAAGCCTAATTACCAATTTTTTTCCATTTATACTCTATGTCGCAAAATTACATATTATTTAATAATTGAATAATAAGAATAAAAAAATTTGAACTAAGTACTATAAAAGTTAATATAAAAACTTAATCCAAAAATTTTGAACCCCTAACATTTTTTTCATATATAAATTTAAAATTTCATTTTAGAAATATAAGAAAAGAGACTAAAACTTATCATAAATTGATAATACTAAAAAATGAGCAAGTTAACAAACTAAGATAAAATAAAATAATAAGATAAATCAACAAATAATAATAATAATGCTGCGGTGTGTTGGAAGTTCCAACACACCGCAGCATTTACATTTTGCACAACAGGAAGCGAGGGAGGTAGTGAGGGATCACTACTATTTTATTTATTTTTGTGATGCAAATTGCCAGTAGTCCCCCACCCCAAATTGCCACTGAGGAAGCATTAGCAATTAGAGGGGCGCTAGAAATGGCTCAAGTTGCAGGATGGACAAACATAGAAGTCCAATCTGACTACAAGTATGTTGTGAGCCTCATCAACATGGACAATGTTCAGGAATGTAGACTTCAAACAATCCTGGAAGACATTGTGGTCCTGAAGAGAAGATTTGAAAGTTGCGTTTTCACTTTTGTTCCTAGATCTGCTAATAGCTATAGTCACGAATTGGCTCAATTCGCAGCAAGGGCAACTAGAAACTTTGAATGGGAAGGTTCATTCCCAACTTGGCTTTCAATGTTAGCTAGAAAAGATATTGGGGTAGTTATCCCTTTTCGTAATTAGCTCTTGTAAGATCAAGTGTTAATATATATATAAAATGTTATCGTTTGTCAAATAGGCAAATACACGACGGCTTCAAATCTTCTATCCCCAAAGTAGTCTTTGTCCCTTCTGTCCCTTATTTATACAGCTGCCACGTGTCTTTAATCTTTTGTTAACCCAAACTTAAATAAATTTTAGATTAAATAACTATTTCTTGCAAACAAGTGAATTTTGGAATAACTAAAATTTAATTATAAACAAGAAAATATTACCTGTGACAATTGCGTTGAGCACAACATACGTTGGCTATTTGGTTCCCATATGTTTAAACCATCTCTACTACCAGCAGGACCTTCATGCACATGCTTAAAAATAAAAAATATAAATGAATAATTATATCATCAAGACTTAAAAAAAATTATATCAGCATAATATCTAATTAAAAGCTTGCTTTTCATGCAAACAAACCCATGGTTTATATGAGTTTGGGTTAACAAAAGATTAGAGACACGTGGTAGCTGTATAAATAAGGAACAGGGGGACAGAGACTACTTTAGGGACAGAGGATTTGAAGCCATACACGACTGTTATGTTTTAGTATTAGATTCCAATATTCCAAATGGATTCAACCCCAGTCACCACAACACCTCCCTCCCAATTTTACCGTCACTTCTCCTCATCCCATCTTCCCACTTCCTCTCCGTCCCTCTCTCTCCTTCTCCTTCCACTTCCACTTCCCCTTCCCCTTCCCCTTCCCCTTCCCCTTCCTTTCTCTGCCTGTAATCGCCCGGGAAGAAACAAAAAAGAACATTTAAGTTAAGGGACAAAAAAGGAGAAATGGGTGAGCCAGATAAGAATATTGCCCGGCACAAGAAGTCGGAGGAGCTTTTGACTTCCCTGCTCAGCCGCCCGACAGAGATTCTTTAATCATGGATCTTGATCTCGATTTTGATGCTTGCTGGTCCTTTGATAACTTCTTCTCAGCTGTCGCTTCCTCCTCTGCTTCCCCGTTGAAAAGTCAGTACTACATATTACGGATAAAAGAAAAAAAAATGCTTACAATAAAAAAAAATTGCCCCTAAGGTAAATGCTTACGAACTGGGCCCTCCCTGTAAATTGTAAATGCCTTGTTAGGCCCTCCCTGATTGTAGAATAGAATATGATTTGTGAACGAGTTATGCGGTTTGACACCCAAAAAAAAAAAAAAAAAAGAAAAGTTTGAGCCGGACTTTTAAAAAAAAAAATAATTTTCCTAAGCATTTTTTTCGTCCCTGATTTGTACTTTTTGCAAATTTCTGGGCATTCATTTTTCAAATCAATTTTAAGACCTGGTACGGTGGTCAGAAATATAACTTGACCACTTTGCCCCACTTAAGATGGCTCGTAAAGGTTGGACGATCAAGTTGATCCAAAAACAAAAGTCAAAGGATCACAATGTCTCAAATTGAAGTTAAATGACAAAAAGTGGTTTGAAAAAAAAAAAGTTAAGAGGACTAATTGGGTGCTTTGTTTTGAAAAAGCAAGGATCTAATAAGAAAATTAACAAGCTCTGATTTCTTGAAACTAATCTAAAAGATGCAGCGAAACAATGTTTAATACTGTAGTTCATGCAAGAGATAACGCAAAGCACAATATTTATCCTCCAACATTTTATTTAATTTGGGAATTCATAACCCATAGTTATACATTTCATTCCTCTCAGACTCAGTAGGTAACGAGAAGAACTTAGTCGATGGCGTAGAACTTATTCATGGACTTTTTACCAGAAGCCAGAAGTACACCAGAACTAAAATTGCACTCGTATTTGCCCTCAAACACCATGAGCGTTCCAAATTTGGGAAACTGCACCACAAAGAACGTCCTTGTAAATAGATCATCACATGGGATGAAACCGTCAGTGTCGGGATTTCTAGTTATTCCCAGGGATAATGTAGTATTATATTTGTCTAGATAACAATACCATGCAATCCAAATGGGTGGATAGAATTTACATGAAGGATCACCGAAAAATTGCACCCACACGTGGTCAAAGACGCCAGTTTTGATAGCATCGTCAAGATAATAGTCAGGAATTTGACAAAGTGGTGCTGCAGATAAGTACACCTTTCTTTCAGGTGTGCTATAATTCCTGAGCGCCTGGGCGAGAACATCCAGACTCTGGTTTGATCCGCTTTGGATACGGAAGTCTATTCCATCTACAGTAGCATTGAGAGGACCAGGGCCTGAATTATTACTCAAAAAATTGTTCCAGATATATTCTGCAACATTGTGAGCATCATCAGAAGAAAGATCAGGCCTCCCACCAAGGGAAAGTAATACTTTGATGCCTTGAGCCTTGCAGAAATCTATCATATGACCTAGGTAGGCGCAGCCAGCCGGGTAGCTCGGATTGCACTTGTCATCTATGCTCAAGACTGGTTTGTTACCCTCCAAATTTAGGGAGGCGAGAACCGCGTAGCGATACATACTGTTGTTGCACATCTCAGCCAGGTTTTCATCATGAAGACTTTGGCCCCAGTAGAACCCAACCCCTTCGCCTTCTGAGGAGCTGATCAAGGATGAAATCATCAGCAGGGGTATTATTGCTAAGAAGAGGGGTCGTAAACTAGCAGCCATGTTGAATATATTTTTTTTAGTTGTTTTAGGAGTCTTGCAGTGGTGATTTTGGCTGCCGAATGATGGACCATTTATAGAAGACTTCATCGTAGGTGCCAAATTCAACATGTACCAAACAGTACTTATTCACATTCTAATTACTAAGTTTGAAGAATAGTTACCATTCAGCATCAGCAGACACTCTCTGAAACAAAAACAAACAACAGTCAACCGTAAAAATTCAGAAATTTCACTCTCTGACACAAAAACAAAAAAAACAAACAAAAGTCAACCGTAAAAATTCAGAAATTTCACTCTCTGAAACAAAAACAAACATACATAGCAAACTCGAATTAAGTATCTTTGCGTATCTTTGCATATTATGTGTTTATCAAATTCTATGCTTATCTATCTTTGCGTATTATGTGCAGTAACTTCTCCTACAGAATTATTTGTCATTCAATTAATGAAAGAAACAATTAAGTATTCATTTTTAGATAACAAAACATATTTCATTAACAGATTGTTGGAAATTGTCCAGCACAATTGATATACATCGTTGTCCTAATGACAAATAAAACATGTACTAAAATTGCAAATTTGCAATTTAATAGATACAAGAGATTTGAGAAATTAAGAACAGATATAAAAAGTATTATCAATTTTAAAATCATCTCCTCATAGAATAAATCACTGCAGCCCGCAGCCCACTCTGTGCGTATTGCAAATCGTCAAATTTGCTAATCAACAATTATAACCTCCAATAAAGATGATGAAATCTGTTGACATTGACCCAAATCTAAAATAAATTCAGATCTGACAACTAGATCTAAAGTAAATTCAAATTTAAACCAAAAAACAAGGAAAAATAACACAAAATCTCATTAAAAACTATTAGGAGAACAAAATTTTCACTAGGAACCCTAGGAGAAAAAGAGATCTCCCACTAAGAAAATTTAAGGGAGACTTTATTAGAAAAATAACAAAAACGAAACCTATGGAATAGATACCACCATGGTCTCCCTCCCGATGAGGAAGGGATTGAAAGAAAAGGAGCTATATAGAGAAGTTGGAGAAGCGGAGCATTAGAGTGATTGATTGATTTAGAGAGACAACCTAATTAACAATTAAGTATTCATAATATCTTATCTATGTGGTAACTTGTTCTACATATTAATTTGGCATATAGCTGATGAGAGAAACATTTAAGTGTTCATGGTGTCTTATCATGTGGTCATTAAATGCACCATAATGACATTCTAACACGTTTTGCAGGCTAATTTTCAATTGGACATCCAATTTTCATCACCTAACCATTGTTTACATTAATGCTCTCTCCACATCATAAGTTGATAGGGTGATGGCGACTAGTCTAAGATGAAAAACAAAAGAAATTTGATGTAGAAAGGTTTCGCATTGTTATCCCGTGGCACTTGATACTGATTATTATTACCAAAAAAAAAAAAAAACGAACAACCAAACAAACAACTTCATGTAATACAACTTGATATCTTATCATGTGGTCCAATTTTCTGTTAGCCGGGCCATTTGTAAAATATTTTTATAGTTTTCCCCAAATTACTGTTATCTGATACATAAATGATGTTCCTTTGAAGGTCCTACAAGTGTTGAATCTGTTGATTAGGTCCTAGAGGTATTGAATCTGTTGCTTAAGAAAAAGAGCATCTGAAATATGAAAAGAAAGCGAAATCTAGAAATGAACAAATAGGATAGTGTGCCCAAATTTATGACCAATCCGGTCAAATTCTGAAGTTTGGCAAAGTTCTATCGCAAAATGGCAGAATATGCATTTCAGATTTTGTCTGTGGCATCTCAGAAAATTTTTTATGAATTGAATATATTTCTCCAAAAATATAAATGGCAATTTTTCAATTAACATCCCGTATTAAGTGTATAGAGTTTGTTGCATTGTTCATGAGTTATGGTAGCTCCTTAGTCATGGTTTTTGCATAGGGTTTAGTGGATGTTTTGCTCTTGCCTAAACAATGCACTGATAGGGTGCAAAATTACTATTTAATTTTTGATTATTTTTCCCTTGATTTTAGCCAAATATTATTTTTATTGATGGATTCCGCTTATATTTGGTTTTTTTTTTCCAACAAACGTTAGCATTGTTATAGATATTAACATTTGATAATACAAGAGTTAATTACAAAAAGGAGTAACTAACCCCATATCTTTTCTGGCTAAATCTAATAGCCATGTTGGGAATGAGCCTTCCCACTCAACCTTCCTAATCAACTTGACTGCAAATTGAGCCAGAGAATGGCTACAACCATTTGCAGTTCTGGGAACAAAAGAAAATCTACAACAGTCAAAAATCTGTTTGAGGTCCTCAATGTCTTGCAGGATTGTTTGTAAGCTACACTCCTGAGCATTGCCTGTGTTAATTTGGCTCACAACATTTTTACAGTCAGATTGGACCTCTATGTTTGTCCATCCTGCAACTTTTGTCATTTCCAGCTCACCTCTTATAGCTAGCGTTTCCTCTGTGGCTGCTTCCCTTCTCCTCCTCGCAGTGATTCCTTTCACTTTCACAATCTCTCCACGCTAGTTCCTAGCTATGATCCCCAAGCTTGTCGTTACCATTTTAGCTGAGATTGTTGCATCTGTATTTATCTTAATCACTCCTTCCTTAGGTGGCTCCCATCCCTGCTGTATCTGTCTGTCCACTTCTGATGATGCATTTGTTCTTGTATCTGTTTCATTCTCAGCTTCATATTCAATCCATTCTTGTTGTGCTTTGTCCACTATCAGTTTTGCATCAACGTTCTCAGTCTGGAATGTCATCTTGTTTCTAGCTGTCCAGATTTGCCATAACATGTTAACCTTAAGCTTAATTCTGTCCATTCCTTGCTCCTTCATAGCAGATTGCGTCACAGCATCCCACCATCTCCACATGTTATATTGCAACTCAGTTATCCCCTTCCACCTCACTAGAGCTATCCTCCACACCACTTGAGCTTTTGGACAAAAGAAAAAAATGTGCTCAATGGTTTCAGTATCCTCACCACAGCATAGGTTACTTCCCTTTCCAATTCTCTTGTAGATTGCTTCATTAGCTGGCAATCCATTCTGCAGGCACCTCCATAGGAAATGTTTCAGCTTCATCTTAATGTTTAAGCTCCATAGTCTTTTCCACTGATAGGTTGCAATATTGTTCTTTATTTTATAATTAATTTTTCCTTATTACCTGACCTAATGTGGATTAATTGTCGGATTCTACTCACTTTTGGAAAATTGCACTTTTTACAGGGAGTAGAACAAAAATACCATAACAAGTGTCAATTTGACAGTCATCAGGAAAGAATTCAAGCAGCAAGCGTCCAAGGGCATTTTTGGTATATCAAGACGCGACCCTTTTTGATAAATTACTGAAGAGGGCAGCGGATGGAGAGCCTTCTATCCCGGGGGAGCCGCCGCAAGTGAAGAGGGATTTTAGAGAGGAATTAGTTAGGACTACTTGAAGTTGCTTTTGTTGACTTTTCTTTGGTTGGCTTTTGTTTAGCTTCAATTCCCGTATGTCAGAGGCCATAGAAGGCAAAGAAATCATTCCCTGTAGGAATTTTCTTTTTGACTTTAGCCTTTCGTCCTTTGTGGTTCTCCTGCCACATATGCTTGGAACAATTAGGTGCAATTGAATCAATCGTTGTGGCTTGCTTTTCCTTTGTAATTCGAGCAAATTGAATTCTCCCGATCAATGACAAAGGCCGTAATTGTTCCTTCCGCTTCGTGTGGGTGTTCCTCATTAGGGATGAACTAAATCCCTTTTTCTAGCCAAGAAACAACGTATGCTTCGGGTCACCTAAAATTGTGAGATCGATTTAATTTGATCTTTTCCTTTTATTTATTAATATTCGCATATTCTCTGATTACAGTGCTTATGATTATTCAATTAATTGATTGTATTGGATCTGAATATTTAATTGATTGGGTAATCTATTGTCAATTGGGACATTAAATTCGTAATTGTTTAATTGCCTTGAAATAGTGACAACTGGCATAATTAAACTTCTGTCAGGAAATACGCGGGCTAACCTGAAATAACCCTGGTAGTGCGTTATTTGGTTAGAATAGGGCTCCTTTAATACGTAAGGCAATTGGGAAATTAAATCTTACGGGCGTACCTAAGATTATTCCTCAATTAGAGTAGTGATTAACGGGCATACCTTAGTCACCGACACAATAAGGAGGGGTTGACTGTCAACGCTTGTTTGGCAGTTATAACTTATTTATTAATAAATAATTGAAATTGTTTTTGCATCGATGATCAATTAGGTGAACCATTGATGAAGTTATTTCTTGGCTAGACCTTTAATTATTGTTACTCTAATTTTAGTGAATTATCATTTATTTTTTAGTTGACTATTTTATTATTAGTTGAACTACTTTAACTATCATCCTTTATACAAAAACACCCCCGTGCCACTTTGGATTTCAAAAGAGACAAATATCCCCAATTCCTGTGGATTCGACCCTGTTTATCACTACCTACAGAAATTAACTTAGTTTGAGTAGATTTTTATTATTGCATAGGTTCGACAACCTGTCAATTTTTGGCACCGTTGCCGGGGACTAGCGTCAGTTATTTGTTTCTTTTTAAATTCATTTTTGTTCTAATTTTATGGTGTTTTTCTAGTGTATGCCGTGTTCTTCTCGTACAGGTGAATTAATTTTCGACCCTGAGGTAGAGAAGACAGCGCGGAGGACACGAAAAGAGACCCGATAGCTCAGAGAGGAGCAGTCTAGTACTGCATCTCATAGACTTGATCCAGAAGTTGAAGCAACAAGTCCGTTTGGTGATACTTCGAGTGACTCGGATCGAGAAGAAGTGACTATGGCTAATGCATGAACACTAAGGGAGTTGGCTGCACCTGATTTAAATCAGCAGCCTTTATGCATTACCTTCCCCAATTTAAATGATAACACTCCATTTGAGTTAAAATCTGATCTAATTCATCTTTTGCCATCTTTTCACGGTTTGCCAGGTGAAGAGCCTTACAAGCACTTGCAGGAGTTTGATGTCGTGTGCAACAGTATGAAGCTCCTGGGAATCACAGAAGAACAGATTAAAATGAGGGCATTCCCCTTCTCCTTGAAGGATTCTGCAAAAGACTGGTTTTACTACCTACCACCAGGTAGTATCACTACGTGGGACCAACTGAAGAAAAAGTTCTTAGACAAGTATTTTCCCGCGTCTCGAGCCGCAAGTCTAAGAAAGGAGATCTGTGATATCAAGCAGCACTCAGGGGAGTCACTTTGTGATTACTAGGAGCGATTTAAGAAGTTGTTTATCAAGTGTCCTCAGCACCAAATAAGTGAGCAGTTGCTCATACAATATTTTTACGAGGGACTACTCTTCAGAGATAGGGGTATAATTGATGCTGCAATTAGAGCGATACTGGTGAACAAGACCCCTCGAGAAGCGTGAGAGCTAATTGAAGGAATGGCCGAGAATTCACAATAGTTCGGTACAGGGGAGGATGCCCCGATACACAAGGTAAATGAGGTAGAGACATTTTCTATCCATCAGCAATTGACGGAGTTAACCTCGTTTGTTAGGCAACTGGCTTTAAGAAATAAATCACAGGCCAAGGTGTGTGGGATTTTCACTGCTATGGGCCATTCTACAGAGATGTGCCCAATGATTCAAGAAGAAAGTGCGAAGCAAGTGAACATGACTGGTCAAGCGCCCGCTCCAAGAAAGGCCTATGACCTGTACTCGAATACATATAACTCGGGTTGGAGGGATCACCCTAACTTCAGTTATGCAGGAAATAGGCAGCCCAATTTTGCACCAAATAGATAGTCAGTGCATCAACAGCAGTATCAGCCGCGCCCACCACCACCACCCTCTTCAAACTCAAGTCCGTCCATGGAGGAGATGATGAAGCAATTGATTGCTAATCAACAAAAGACGGACTCTGACCTGCAAAGTATGAGGAATCAACTGGGATAGATGCAAGCAATGCAGAGTCAGATGAGTCAGATGAGTCAGATGGCGATAGCAATTAACCGTTTAGAATCTCAAGTTCAAGGTAAATTGCCGTCTCAACCTGAAGTGAACTCGAAGAACGTAAGTGCGATGACCCTAAGGAGCGGGAAGGAAGTTCAGGGGCCCAAACCCACGGTTCCAAAGGACAAAGATGATGAGAGGATCGAAGATGAGCTTGAGAAGGATAACAGTAATGGCACAAATCCAAAGGTACTCCCAAACCCAGTCATTACAATTAAGACTAACCCGCCTCCCTTTCCTAACAGGTTGGAGAAACCGAAGAGGCAGGATAAGGAGAAGGAGATTCTGGAGGTGTTCTGCAAGGTTGAGATCAATATCCCCCTCTTAGATGCAATCAAACAAGTGCCGAAATATGCAAAGTTTTTGAGACTCTTGTGCGTCAACCGAAAGAGGTTGAGGGGAGATGAAAGGGTCATCGTGGGGGAGAATGTGTCAGCGGTTCTACAAAGGAAACTCCCACCGAAATGTGGGGATCCAGATATATTCACTATCCCCTGTAAGATAGGCAACACTTTGATTAGGAAGGCCATGCTGGACTTAGGGGCATCGATTAATGTAATGCCTAAATCTATCTGTGCTTCTCTGAACCTAGATCCATTAAAAAAAACTGGGATAATAATTCAGTTAGCTGATCGAACCAATGCATACGTAATCTTCCCCGGCAACGGCGCCAAAAACTTGACGGGTATTTTGCATACGTACAAGTTAAAAAACCGAATTACACCCGTTCACTGCAAGTATACAGGTCAACTAGTAGTTTAGGGTATATATCGGGTCGATCCCACAGGGAAGAGTGAACAATTATCGGTATTACTAAAGCTTCTCTATTATTTAGACTATCAATGAATTATAACAAATTTAACCTACTGAAATTATACAAAATAACAAATGAAAGCTCCTTAGGTTGTGGTATCCCTAACTACTCATGCAAATGCTATATTTGGATCATTAATTACTACATCTAGGCTAATTATGGTGTAATTTCCTAATACATTTGAATCCTACTTTCGTAGTGAATCAATTATACTTATAACTAATCCATACCTATTCTCATGGTTATGAAATTAGCTACAAGTTCATTTCTTCAGTGAAATTACATGAAATGAATCACTAAAAACCACATAGGTGCACCTCTACTTTCGTGAGTGTACTCCCTATGTTTAGCACTTCTTGAACTAATGTTAAATCTCAATTTTCATTGCAGAAATAACACCTTAGATAATCACAATTAATGGTACCAGATTAATCATGATTTAAAGAGCCAAAGTGCTAAATAACTTGCTCAAATCATAGCAGTTAAATAGCCAAATAATAAGCACTAACAATCATAGAAAGTTCAACCAAACCCAAGGTATAAACTTTAAAGACACATAAATAACATAAAATCCAGAAATTGCATATTAACTAAATTTGGAATCAAGTACAAAAGATAAAGAATTGGAGAAGAGATAACCCTTGTCACATGAGCTTCAACTCCTCCTTCTTCATCTCAATCTTCATCCTAATCTAGCAATATACAAGAGTGGATGAACTAACTAGCTAAACTATACTACACTAATTTAATACTAAGAGAATGGAAAAACTACATTTCTGCACTTCCAAGCTTCTCCCGTATGATTCTGAATGTCCTGCATATAAGCTGATGAAAAGTCCTTCCCTTACCAGTCAAAAATTTCTGCTATGATTCTCCAAATCTGAATTTGTTAAGGGAGTCAAAAATAATGGCTTTTGACTTGGAACCTTGGCTATATCTCTTCCTTATGTCTTCTGAAGCATGTGCAGCCTACGTTTTCTCTCCAACTCTAGCTGGAAAGTAGTGTGAAGATGAGAAAAATGGCTGAGCAAATTACAGAAATTCGGCTGCCAGACACGTTTTTACTTTTGACCTCACTTCAACTGCATTTTTCTCCATGATGAAGGCCGAACTGGCTTTTGTGTAAAACACAAAAGTTGTAGCCCTTTGAATTAGAGTTCCAATGCTTCAAGAATCATCTAATTTGGAGATCGGTGGACGGAGATATGGTCAAAATACCATAGACTGGTCAATTCTGGGTTTCAGCTTTCGACCATCCAGATAAGTTTCTGTGTTTCGACC